ATCCATCCATCCATCCATCCATCCATCCATCCATCCATCCATCCATCCATCCATCCATCCATCCATCCATCCATCCATCCATCCATCCATCCATCCATCCATCCATCCATCCATCCATCCATCCATCCATCCATCCATCCATCCATCCATCCATCCATCCATCCATCCATCCATCCATCCATCCATCCATCCATCCATCCATCCATCCATCCATCCATCCATCCATCCATCCATCCATCTATCTATCTATCTATCTATCCATCCATCCATCCATCCATCCATCCATCTATCTATCTATCTAGCAAACGTTTACATGACACATATATGATAGCAAAGTCACAAAACCTGTGAAATAGCACAAATGGAAGTTTGGGAATCATCTAGTGACCAAAACATGTGGCACAGATGAATACTCTTCAGAGTCAGCTCTGACTTTAATCAAACAACATCAAGAGGTGCAGTGTTGGGGAAAGTTACTTTTAAAACTAGTGCATTACAATGTTGCGTTACTCCCTTAAAAAAGTAACTACTTATGTTACTTTGTTACTTTTATGGAAAGTAATGCGTTATGTTACTTTTGCGTTACTTTTTTAATCTGTGCAGGGCTTGCATGTTTGTTTTTAATATAAAAAGTTATCGTTTTACAAATGTAAAAGCCCTTTCACAACACAAGTGAAATGAAAACGCTTTAGGCTGAAGGACATTTAAATGCATGTCTGTACAGTAGAGGGCGCTGCTCAAACTAACCACATGAAGAATATGACGCAGAATACACTCTTCAGCAATAACAAAAATTAAACACAAATGTGTCATTTTTGCTTTTTAGTATGGTTGAAGGTCAGTAGCAAAGACATTGGTTAATAAAATGAGATTAAATACAACAAACAGCCACCCACAATTACTCTATACACAAAGCATCAGGCTGTCTGAGTTCACATGAACAACGGTTAAAGTTACTCGTCGTCAGGCTACAGAAGAATACCATAATTCCTCCGTTCAGTTAGGCCTACGGCATCGAGAGTCACGCAGACCTAGAACAACCCAGCCACAACACATAATTGGAAATAACATGCCTTACCTTAACACAGAATCGACCACACAGTCCAGCATTTATATGTTTTCTACTAATCTTTGAGTTAACATGTACTAAACATGAGTGGAATTTGCACCGCTGCGCCCCACACCTTGATGCTCATGACAAGAATAGCATGTATAGTTATCTATATTCAAGTGAATTAGGTTTAAATCGCCGTCATGCATGAATGAATGATATTTTTGCAATTTCACACATAATAATCCACGATGATCACATTACACAAAACTGAAATTTCACATCAAAATAACACATTGTCAATATTTTTTGAGACCCCCCAAAATTTCACAAATCACGTTTTCAGGGGAGCCCATGTCTTATTAAGGGGAGCCGAGCTTCCCCTAGCTCCCCCGGAGTTCGCACCCTGATTGCTGGTTTGTATAACATTTTGATTTTGCATTTGAAGGTTTTTATTAATTTTGAAGAACACTGAATGTGTTTGTGTGCAGTGAGATGAGTAAACACGTGTTGATATTTAGTCTAGAACTACAGTAAGATCATGTTCACACACAACACTCTGCTCTTACTCCCAAATACTCTCAACATGGCAACACCAGAGCTGTCAGTCAAGACATAGGAAACAAAGTAACTGGAGGTACTTATTTGAAAAGGTAACTCAGATATGTCCTTCTAAATTAAAAAGTAAAGCGTTACTTTAGTTCTGATTACGTCTGATTACGTAACTCGCGTTACTTGTAATGTGTTACCCCCAGCACTGATGAGGTGCATCCTGATATGTTTTTTTTTGTTTACTATGGAAAACAGTTTCCACAGCGTAAGAAAAACATATCTGTAGAAAGAAAGATAATGTCCTGGCAGAAAATGACCACATTTTCCATTTAGTTTACAGACATTTCCTTTACCTTAAGAAACAACGCAATACAGGTCATCATTTAAAATATGGGGAAAACACCTCTGAAATATCAATACAGAAAAGTCCTTCAAATTAACAAGGTGTTACAGACTTACATTTTACGGACAATGTACTAATGTATTTTAGAGAACTTTTTCTTAGAGTGCATGTTTGGTGGACACATGATGATGCTTTTCCTTCACTATTTGATTCAACTTCAATAAATGTTTGTAAATGTTAGTTTTGTAAAGAAATTCATGTGCACGTGTACATCCACAGGCCATCCAAGATTAGGATGAGTTTGTTTCTTCATCAGGTTTGGAGAAATGTAGCACTGCATCAGTGTCTCAGCAATGGATGCTCTGCAGTGAATGGGTGCCACAACAACACAATAATCCACAAAATCAATTAACATCTTGTGTTTGTGTCAATCGAATCAATCATTAAGACTTTAAAACTTCAAGCTGTTGCTTCTGGCTAAAATACAAGTCTATAATCCATAATAACGCTTCCCAAATAACGCTGAAAAAGTGTCCTGGTGTGAATCAGGAGAGAAATCTGCACAGATCAAGCAGCGTTTAAACAGCTCTAAACACATATGTGGCTGGATTAAAAAACGTCTTAATGCTGGATTAGTTTCAGCTTTTGTCTTCTCCAGATGTTATCTGATGGACTGGAGTGCTGTGGATTACTTGTGATGTTTTTATCAGCTGTTTGGACTCTCATTCTCAGAGCATCCATTGCTGAGACACTGATGCAGTGCTGCATTTCTCCAAACCTGATGAAGAAACAAACTCATCCTAATCTTGGATGGCCTGAGAATGAGGACTTTTAATTTTTATGTTGAACTCTTGCTTTAAGTATGAACTTTTAGATCAAACACACATTTTAACTAAATGTATTGAAACATTTGACTAGCACCGTCACTGTTTTATGGCCACTTCACAAAGATCTTCACAAATTTTGCATTGTAAAAGGAAAAAAAAAGTAATTCAGCTCACTTTCTAGTTATTTACAGATAGGACCCAGGAAGAAAAAAACGCTTCAGCCCAATGGAGTGGTAAGAACAAATATTTCTTTATATCAAAAATCTGTGTATGTGTGTATACATTATAACTAATGCAAGCTCAACTCCTATATAACACACTGTTAATCACATTAACTAAGAACATCTCAAACACTGAGTGTAGCAGTCAATCACTGCACTAGTTTGGAGGTTAATGGAGTCAGTCGGGTATATACTGTATGTTCATCCACACGTCCCTCAGGACTCTGAACTAGAGCACTGAAGGCTGACAGTCGACCACAGGAGGTTTAGACACTGGCAAACAAAGCCAGTGATTTAAGAGCATGTTTTTCAGCACACAAGCTATGTGTTTAAAGGAATCCTGGAGCATTAGTGTGCTAGTTCAGCATATCGCACCTGCTTTAACGTTCAAGAAAGACTACCTGAGCGAGGTGTCATGTTTAGACACACCGTCTGCGTTGTCGTCTGGAAAGAATCACTTTGTTGTCGACAATGAATTATTAACCTCTGAATTATTATCCACCTCCTTGGATGCATATTTAAGTCTATGGCTCCGACCCAGAGCGCAAACAAAGCCTCCGGAGACCATCTGAATGACACTTCATATACTCCCGCAGAACTCAAGACTAGTTAAAGCACACAGGAATGAAAAGAAAGAAAGAAAACCAGCACAGGGACTTTTTTTTACGACAGTCTTAAAATTTGATGAACTCTCTTAGGCAAAGAAAGGGAGTATCGTCACACCTGCTCAGCTCCCACTTTATTATTGCGCTGAACTAAAGGGCTGTTGCCGTGGTAATTGGTGAAACAATGCCCTAATCATCATTAGGCAAGATTGAACAGGTTATTTTATTTACGACGAGGGCCACACTTTGTTCCTACTGGCTCCTGATTGTCTCAATTAGAGCGGCCGCTTTGGTTTGGCAGCGTCCCAAAGACGCGATGTCCCTCTGCTCTTCACACAGGCGTGCCGCGGGGTTACCAGGGGATACGGCAGGGGCCCGAGAGACACCGAAACACTAGATGAGAGCAGCTGTGTGTCTGTGTTTGGTCTGAACTTCAGAGTGTTTTTTTTTTTTTTATCCAGTTAGATAGGACTATTTAAACTGAACTGAGCCATTACTGCCTTTAACTGAAAATTGACTGTTTACTATTGTCCTTTGCATTATTGACACTATTTTCCCAATTAATGCTGTTCAGTTGCTTTGACACAATCTGTATTGTTAAAAGCGCTATATAAATAAAGGTGACTTGACTTGATCAGCCGCTTCCTAGCCTGGTCATCAATCCCAAGAAGTCCAAGGGTCCTCCAAAGCAACTACCCTGCGAAACCCCTGCAGCCAACCTACACCAGCAGACTCCAAGCCTTCCATCCTTGCTAATATTTCTTAAGCTTACACTCATGTGCTTCTTCTGTCCTGTCTTTCCAAGGTACTGTCAACATGATAAGTACCACCTGCATGGTAACCTTCGACCAGGGCACAATATCAGGTCTGTGACTCGTATGGGTTATTTCCTCTGGGAATCTGAGCTGCTTCTTAAGGTCTGCCCGCATCTCCCAGTCGTTTGCCTTGGACAGTACTCCTTTACTCTTCATTTCTGTTGCTGTGCTTTCCCCAGACTTAAGGAACTGAATGAAACAAGGCCCCTTACGAAGTTGTCTTGGCTTCTTTTATGCCTGCTTCACCCAGGCAGCTCTCTACCAAGCGCCATGTATGGAGATTTGATAAATTAGGTAGAGTGTCGTATACAGAGAACAACAAAAACTTAATCCAGCAGTCTTCCTTGCTCCAGATGTCCAGCCAGGTCAGAACTTTCTCTCGCACATTCTTCCTATCTGGCCTGTTTAGTCATGGCTGCAGACTTAATATCTGCAAAGTTATGATGCTGAATGTTCAATGCAAACAAAGATATCGTCTTTTAAAATCATGGCAGTTTAATGCCTACAAAAACGTCTCGTAGGGACTACAATGAGTTACTTCCTCGCCTGCTGTGATTTGGTTACTGATGTTACTGGTAGCTGCAGCTTGCCGCCTGTACTATACAAGCCTATGGAGCATAAGCTTTACAGAACGCCCAACCATCTCCTTAAACAGTTGTTCATCTTCCTTTCCACAGTAGAGGTGGGTACCTCATAAATGAGCAGTAGCCAGAGCACTCTGGCTAGGACTCCTTGCTGGTATCCCCAAGCCTTATGCTTGCCGGGTAAACCCCTCTTCTTCAAGAATGTCATCCAAGTTTCAACTTCCTCAAACATTTCCATCACACTCTGCCTGTCATTGAGGTCTGCCCTGTACCACTTCCTCAAGCTATTCACTGGCTTTTCTTGAATGATTGGAATAGTGTCCTATTTGATCTTAAAGTGAAACTGATCCTGGACATGCCTCTTCCTCAGCACCTAACTTCTTGACTTTGCAGGTTTGAACTCCATCCTTGTCCAATCGGTGAGCTCAACCAAATTCTCCAGCATCCATCTTGCTTCAGGTACTGATCTTGCCATAATGGTCAAGTCATCCATGAATTCTCTGATGGGCACCTGTTGGGTGCCATTTGCCAATACTGCCTCCTGATGTAAACTCTCTGCTGTCTCGACAAGGAGGTTCGTTGCTGCTGAGAACAGGATGACTGGCTGAGACAGGGTGACTGTGTTAGTTCTAGGGCTGAACGATTTTGGAAAATAATCTAATTGCGATTTTTTTTTACCAATATTGCGATTGCGATTTAATATGCAATTTTTTTTAAAGCTCTTTATGTTATGTATTATTCAACAAAGACAAGCTATACATCATTGTAAAGTATGACCAACACACTATTAGATAGATTAAACATAAATGTCCTTTTCTGTAGGCCAGGCCTATATGTTATGATGAAATTAGGTGATGCATGAATTGATATGAATGACATTTTTATTTAACAACTACAATCACAGTATGTTGAATTTTCAACCTTGTAAGCATGTAATAATTATGACAACATAAAGCACTGAAAAATAAGCCTGGTGTAAACATTAATATGAAAGTCAGTATCAAATCACACAAACTAAAGTAGATTGCAGAAATATAAAAACAAATCTGCTGCTTTACCACACTACTTTAGGTAATTCAAAGTCACTGTAATAAACATATGTAAACATGTGCACTTTTTAATCACTGTTAACTCTAGACCAGTGCTTCTCAAACTTTTTTGGTTGCGCCCCCCTCAGACTACCAAATAATTTCACTAAACATTATGAAAAATTTATGTTTTTTTAATTTAAAAAACCTACAGGGAAAAAAACACCTGCATCACTTGAAACATTGAAAAATAGCATAGAGAGAATAACTTATTATTCTCTCTCTGTTATTTATAAATTTTTTGTGGGTTTCTTGCTGTCCGCTAAGGCATAGGACACACAGTCTGTCCTCCTCACCAACGACATTAAACACGTGTCTACACCGGACGCGAGCGGCAAAATACAGTAGAAACCATTATAATCAGTGACGCTGTGTACACTGGATGCGATGCGACATTAAACTGATGTCTTGTTCTATTTATAATTATTTGCACCGGTCGCTTTGTCGCGTCAGTGTAGAGCTGTTGCGGCACGCAACAACTGTGGTGTCCGGTATAGACCCGGTGAGTGAAGCCGAGAGCAAGATATGCCTTGTCACATTTTCTGCAAGCCGAGAGCAAGATATGTCTCGTCACATTTTCTGCATTTATCTTTTAAATGACCAGCACCTGCCTGGGTCTTGTGCGACTTCATCTATGGCTTTTCTCTTCGCTTTCACAAACCGATCCATCTCCCATTCTAAGTTACGTCCTTTGGCTGTTTACTTATTTCTTTTCTTTTTCTGCTGATGGCCCGTGCTCGACTTGAAGCAGCGCTGCTTAGACCGATGGGTGTGTGTCATCAAAGTACTGAGAGAGCTATAAGAGCGCGGACGTCTCCTTGTGCTTTCTCTCGCTTGCCGTACTTTGATGTCATACACCGATCTGATCTTCAAGTCGAACACACCTCTTTACTCTCGCGTGTCACGTGACCGTGTAATCGCAGCCTCTGCGATTGAAAAATCAAAATTTTTCATATTGCGATATTATCGCAAATGCAATTAATCGTTCAGCCCTAGTTAGTTCCACTAACATATGGGGTATTGTATTGTCCCATAGGCGTTGGTCAGGTCAAGCCACAAAACCACCAGGTCACCATGGTTCCTCTCTGAATCTACAATTATTTTAGAGATTGCACTGGTATGCTCAAGACAACCAGGAAGCCCCGTAACTCCAACTTTTTGAACTGATATGTCCATAGACCTGTTATTCAACATGAAAGTGGTCTCTGGCTTCTTAACCAAAATCCCCAAAAAAGATCTTACCCTCCACAACGAGGAGTGATATGGTACGAAAGTGACTGATATCTGTGGGATCCTCCTCCTTAGGAATGAACCATCCCTCCGTAACCAACCATCAACAGCAAGAAAGTCCTTCCTCCATGCCACTTTCAGTAACCTCCAGAATTGCTTCCTGAGCCTTTCACACTGCTTGTACACCTTACAGTATATGGTATACCATTTGCACACTACTAGTAGGTTGCGAGCTACTTCATCTTCATCTGGTGTCTCTTCAGACCCCTCTAATTTTTGCATATCCTCCCACATCCGACCTGGAATACATCACTTGGCACTTCCAGTGTCAATTGTCCATCCTGGGTGGTCATAACTGTGTTCTGTCCTGTGGGTCGATTACCGTCCCTCGCTCTCGCACGATCCAAGAGACTGACTCAGCATGGTGCAGAGGGAGGTTTGTAAGGCAGAAGAAGATAAATGGCATGGTAAGTCTGCAGCCATGAATACACAGTGCAGCTAGTTGAGGTGGGAATCTGTGTGAGAGAGGGTTCTGACCTGGCAGGACATCCGGAGCATGGGTGACTACCAGATTAAGTTTTTTGTTGTGTTCTGTATATGATGTTTTACCTACTCCATCATACATCCATACATGGTGGTAGGTAGAGAGCACCAGTTGTGCACTCTGTGGAAAGCCAGCTTACCTTCAGTGTGTCCTCTCCTCATGCAGGTGAAGTTTGGTGGATGGGAAGTTTTGGTGTTGACATGATCAAATTTTAAATCAGCTGGTTGCCGGGGTGAAGCAGGCATGAAAGAAGCCAAGACAACTTCGTAAGGGGCCTTGTTTCATTAAGTTCCTTAGGTCTGGGAAAAGCACAGAAACAGAAATAAAGAGTACAGGAGTACAATATAGGAAAACGACTGGGAGATGCAGGCAGACCTTAGGAAGCAGCTCAGATTCCCAGAGAAAATAACCCATACGAGTCTCAGACTTGATATTGTGCCCTGGTTGAAGGTTACCATGCAGGTGGTACTTACCGAGTTTACAGTACCCTGGGAAAAGAGGACAGAATAAGCACAGAGTGTAAGCTTAAGAAATATTAGGAGTTGATTCTTGAGTGCCTACAGGAAGAATGGAAGGCTTGGAGTCTGCTGGTGTAGGTCTGCAGGGGCTTCGCAGGGCAGTTGCTTTGGAGGACCCTTGGACTTCTTGGGATTGATGACCACACTAGGAAGCGGCTGGTAGTAAACATCCCTGAACAGACAGATCTAGCAATGGCTCAGAATGCTGCAGGTAGTCTGTTGACCGGTAATCAAAAATTGTATCACGTTACTCCCATTTTAACTGGCTACCAGTTAAAGTGAGAACTGAATATAAAAAAAATAGTTTTTAAATCAATAAATGGCCTAACACCAGGTTATCTTTCTGTCATGCTACATTCTCAAAATCCATATTGGTCACTTAGGTCTGGGGATCTTGGATTAGAGGGGACCAAGCTGTTGCGATAGCAGGCCCTAAACTATGGAATAGCCTACCAGTATCAATCCAAACTATGGCATCTATGTCTATTTTCAAATTAAAGCTTAAAAATAACTTATTTACTGTGGCTTTTCAGAATTAATTAATTATTTATTGTTGTGCATTTTATTTTATTGATTGTAATTTGTTTGAATTTATGTATTGATCATAATGCTCTATTTATAAGGACGAAGTTGCAATTTAGTGCATTGAAAATATATTAACCCTAAACATAATACTGATAAACGCACTGCAGTTACAATCAAATATCATTAAGTACTTTACATGTGCTTTAATATGTTAGTCAATGTATCAAAATATGTGTACTTCTTTAAGAAATAACATACGATTATTTAAGAAAAAAAAACATTTGACCAAAAACAATGACCTTCAAAAATGACCAAAACATTTTCAAGTTACAATTATATAATGAATATGGGCTTAAAGTGCACACTCTGAGATTTAATTTGAGGGTAATCGAAATTGAAGGAAAAGTTAAGGAATTACAGCTCTTTAATATGTACCTCGTAAGTAATTGGACAGTTGACTCAAAAGCTGTTTCATGGACATGTGTGGGCTATTCCTTCATTATTTCTACATCAGTTAAGCAGGTACAAGGTCTGGAGTTGATTGTCATTGTGTAATTTGCTTTTGGAAGCTGTTACTCTGAACCCACATCATGCGGTCAAAGATCTCTCCATACAAGTGAAACAGACGATTGTTAGGCTTCAAAAACCAAACTAATCCACCAGAGAGATAGCAGGAACATCAGGAGTGGCCAAATCAACAGTTTAGTTCATTCTGAGAAAAAGAGACCGCACTGGTGAGCTCAGAAACATATAAAGACCTGGACGTCCACGGAGGACAACAGTGCTGATGATCAGAGGATCCTCTCTATGGTAAAGAAAAACCCTTTCACATCATCAGCCAAGAGAAGAACACTCTCCAGGAGGCAGACGAGTCTCTGTCAAAGTCTACGATCAAGAGAAGACTTCACCAGAGCAAATACAGAGGCTTCACCACAAGCTGCACACAAGGCCAGGCTAGACTTACCCAAAACATACAGCAAAAGCAACCCAATAGTTTTTGAAGGTAAAAAGTGGATTATTCTGCAATGGCCGAGTCAATCTCCTGATCTCAACCCGCATTTCATTTTATGCATTTTATGTTATATTTTTGTTCAACCCCTTGAATTAAAGCTTAAAGTCTGCACTTCAATCACATCTTTATTGTTTTATTTCAAATCCACTGTAGTGGTGTATAAAGATGTATATGTAATTATATATAATTATAAAGGTGGATTCAGATTATCATGAGCATATTAAAATGTTTAATGTCTTGTGTACTACACGTTTATGTTTTGATTGAACTGGATGTTTGTCAGCTGTAGTTTTTGCTAGATTTAACTCCTCTGCAGATCCTCACCCCTTATTTTTTCCTGTGTGAAGCTGAAACCTGTTCCTCAGAGTCGTGTGATTGTATCTGCCAGATTCCTGAAGCCCATCAAAGAGCCCTGTGCAATATTGTAAGTACTGTTTATTTATTTATTTCATAATCCTGACCTTCTTCTTGATAAACTTCATAACGTCATGCAATAATGCTGCAGATTTAATCAAATATCTCTGTGGGATACTAAAAAGCTTAAGCTATTAGTTCACTCAAAAAATACATATTCTGGCACTGTTTATTCTCCCTCCTGTTGTTCTGTGGATTTTTGGAGGAATCTTGTAGCTTTTTTGCACACAGCGATCGCTCACAGTGACCACAGCGGTCAGACTTCAAAAGAGAGAGAGACAAAACTGGAAAGTTTGAGTATAATACGACAAACTTATAAATGGCACATTAAAAAGTGTCAAGACCACATTTATTGTTTGTATTTTGTGAGAAAATAGATCTTGAATGCCCAGATTTTGTTTTATACCCAAAGTGACAAAGCTTATTGTGACTGTTGCATGGTAGGCACGCTCCAAATAAAGATTTGTTCACGCAATAACTGAAAACAACCCAGAATAAAAGACTTCAATTAATCCAAATTAAGACCAATTAAAACTGAGAAACTGATATTATTATCCAACACTAGAATCCACAAATCTGACATGTTTTCTTGTTGTAGTTTATCCTCATTGTGTGCTCGAAATAGACACTGACAAATGGTTAAATCATTCGGATGTTTGGGAGTAAATATTGATGGCATTTGCATTTTGGCTTGAGCTATTCTTTAATAAGTTAATGCACCAGCACTATTTCTGTATTTATGCACAGATGTACCGTATTCGTTTTGTTTCTTTGTATAATCCAAGCTAATAGGGAATGTTCTCACAACTTTGGTTAGCATTCTGACAAGGTTATTTCACAATCATGAACAAATAATTTTTTCAATACTGTTAATAGAATGTTTGTTCAAAGTTATCTCATCTTTAATAATGTTTTTAAAATGTTAGCACAAGAACATTATCTGTGTTTCAGTTGGACGTTCATCTAACATTTTTTAAAGGCAGCTGCTATTTGCACTAAGCACAAACAGCTATAGATTCTATTTACACTGTTAAAATAGCTTATTGCAAATAGTGGCAATTATCTGCACCTCAGTATTGTAGAACATTATAAAACAGTACACAATAATAATGTATTGAGTGTAAATTATAATGTTAATTCAAATTATTAAATGCATGCCACCTTATTGGTACATTAAAACCCTCCCTACACCTATCCTAACCCTACCCAATACTTTATTTTCAACTTTTTGATTATTTCCTTCATTTTTATTGAAAATAAATGTCTTTCCGATGTGATATGAGATTTGAAAAGGGAGTAAAAATGTTTGTCAAAAGGCAAATTCGAACTCGGGTCGATCACGTCAAATAGACTTTGACATGCGCTTTACTATCTACGCTACTGGAGCTGTTGTTTGATATGCATATTGTGCAATTTTGACTATCCCAATCACACACAAGGTGTGTGTGTGTGTGTGTGTGTGGGTGTGTGTGTGTGTGTGTGTGTGTGTGTGTGTGTG